CGGGCCACTTCCGGGAGCGCGGAGGCTTCCAGCAGAGCACCGGCGGCGGGGCGGGGCGGGGCGGGGCGGGACAACGTGACCCGGAAACGTTCCCACAGCTCCTGGGCGGGACCGGGGCCAGCACAGACGTGGCTTTAAATGGGGTACAAATATATCCGGTTGGGATTCACCAGAGGTCGAAGGTCATAGGCCTGAGCGGAAGTAGAGGTGCCCCTACCGGAAGTACCTTGTCGGCGTCAAAAACTTTTTTTTTTCCGACGTCAATAACTTTATTGTAAAGAGTAACCCTCCTGGCTGGGTCATAGCTAAGCTCCCGAATCCACCCACTCCCTGCTCCCAGGTGGCTAGTCTGAGTGGAGGGGCTGATTTACATGCTGACAGATTCGTCGCCTAGATCAAAACCCCACTCTCAGATTGTTCAACATTCAATAATTAGCTTGTAAGAAAGAGGTATGAAGATACATAAAAATACAAAGATTTATGTGTACCAGACATCATTAATAGTACCGAAGAACTGGAAACCGCCTAAATGTCGAACACTGAAGAATGGACTTAATAACTCAAGGCACAGACATGCAATTGGAATACCATTCTGTCATTTAAATCACACTGTAGATTTGAATGAGGAACCTAGGTGGATTCGTGGGTACTGCGTTATACTGGTAACCACACGGCTAGCAGTTCAAACCCACCAGCCCCTTTACAGGAGAACGACTAGGAGTTGTGCTCCAGTAAAGATATAACGCCTTGGAAACCCACTGCGACTGTTCGAATCTGCTCTATACGGTGTTGTTATGAGTCGGGTTTGGTTTTTGGTTTATCAAAACTTACTCTGAAAAAGAATTCATTGGCATCAAGTCAATTCTGACTCTTAGATAGGACAGAGTAGAACCACTCCGTGAGTTTCCAAGACTGTAACTGTACAGGACTAGAAAGCCTCCAGTGTGTAACTATGATTCCACCAGGGCTTTTTTTTAATCAAAATTAAGGCTGGAGACATAGAGAAGCTAGCCTCTCTGGAGATTGATCTACCCATTCTATTTCTGATCATCTCTCCTAGGGAATTCATTGTATATGCAACAATGAGTACATAGAAGGATGGTTAGTAGTAGAGGAAAATTGGACACAATGTAAATATTTATTGTAGGGTGTGGTGGTGAACCTCAGGAAAATCAAGGTTCTAGCGTATCTGAATAGGAAGACATCAGATCTAAGTCAAAATGCCATTGTTGCCAATCTGACCCATCCACGTAGGCTTAAAACTAGAGAGGAGTGCAACAGGCCAGTGATGGGGGAAAAAACCCAAAAACATGAAGTCCCTAAGGAATTCCGTTTGTAGACTTCTGACTCTGGGTTTGCACTTGACACCATCTGAACTGGTTGGGGTTACTCTCAAGGGGTACCATGCTGAAAGTCTAAAGGTGTAATGTGGGGTGGGGAGGTAGGGTTGAGTGCAATAGACTGCTCCGTCCCTGACTACAGGAATAGCAACGGGGACTTTTAGGATGTGTGCCTTTCAGACACAAATGCTGGAGACTAAAAGGATATATGTGTTGTTAGTTAAGTGGGACCCAGGATATGGAACCCTGAAAGAAAAGGGGACTGAACTGATGGATTATAGCATGTCCTCTCTATTTAACATAGAGATACTCATCTGCTCTGTCAGAATCCCTGTTAGACTTGTGACTATTTGTATGTTTTCTTTCTCTTTTTTTTTGGGGGGGGGGTGTCTATCTATACAAAATAGGCAAAATAGGCAATCCTACAGAGACAGCAGCAGGGCCAACAGTGGTTCCTGAGGGACATAGAAGGGGAGGTGGTGGAAGGAGGTGAGCAGCGAACCATTAATGATAGATACAGGGGAATAGTAGGTGTTCTAAATTTGATGGCGAGGAGGGTGTAGCTTTTCTGGTCATGTTTGATCAATTGAATTGTATCTGAGAGATTACTGAGAGGTGAATGATGGGTAAACATGACAATGGGTCAGGAGGAAAGAAGAAGGAAGGAAAAAATTATATAGGTAAATATATATATAGAGAGATAAATATAGGTGTATTTGTTTATTATGCTTGTGTGTGTGTAATAAGGAAGCAGATGGACTTTGGGCCTCTACTTAAATCCTACTTCAGTACAAGAACAATTTTTTCTAAAAATGTGGCACTGTATGATACCCACCTTCCTGACAGGATTACTGAAGACAAATTGGGTGCATAAGCAAATGTGGTGAAGAAAGCGGATGGTGCCTGCCGATCAAAAGATATAGCATCTGGGGTTTTAAAGGTTTGTAGTTAAACAAGCGGCCATCTAGCAGGTAAGCAACAAAGCCCACATGGAATAGACACACCAGATCATGAAGTGTCGATGGGAAAAAGTATCAGAAATTCAAAAACAAGCAACCAAATTGATGTAAAGAGGTGTGGATGTGGTAGAGACCCCTCTGTAGAAGGGCCACAGAGAAGGGATAATAAATCCAGGGTGCTGTATGGCACTGGTGAAACACATATCTATCCTCTAGTTCTTTAATAGTTCCTCCCTTACTATTACAGTTTTTATTTGTTTTACTTGATTAATCTTGTTACACTTGCTTATGTTCATGTGTATAATTAAGATTGTTTGATACATGAAAGCCTACATAGATAACCGTTCAGAAACAGTAACCAGAGTAATAGTTCCCTGAGGGTATGGGAAGAGGGGGGGGAAAGGGGGGAGAAAGAGGAGGAGGAGCTGATAGCATTGATGACTGTATAACCCCACTGGAGGGGAGTGAACAACAGAATTGTATATGAATGAATATATTGGAAGGTGCAAGAAAAGGCAATGAGAAAATAAATAAATAAGGGTTCCTGGAGGGTAGGAGAAGGGGGGATAAAGGGGAGCTGATATCAAGGAGTAAAAGAAGAAAGAAAATGTTTGGAAATTGACTGTGGTAGCAATTGTACAACACTGCTTGGTGTGATTGAACTATGGAATGTTGTGAGATCTGTAAGAGTTCCCAATAAAATGATTTTTATTGCCATTTTTAATCAAGATCTTCATGCCGGTCTTTCTAAAGAAAGCCATTCATTCTGTTTCTCGTCAAAGCGATCCTGTTGGAAAATAACAAAGACAACAAGAATCAGAATTTCTAGCTGCAGAATTGTTTAGGGCTTGTTCATCTTGCCATCTCAGCTGCCCCTTGAGTCAGGGGAATTGTCTAAGTCACCATTTCCCCTTAGCCAGGTAAACAGTGTTCTGTGTTTCAAAGGCTTCAGATTAGAGTTGCTAAACCTTTCCGTCTTCTTAAACAAATGAGTCACTTTTACCTTTCAAGGGCTTCAACCAGAATTGACCTGCTCTACATTCAATCAAGGATTGCGGCCTCCGATAAGGATTGCAGTTTTATGTGAAGAAAACGAAAGTCCTCGGAACCGGACCAAGAGCTAACGTCGTGACAAATGGAGAAAAGATTGAAGACATCAAGGATTGCATCCAGCTTGGATCCCCATTCGATGCTCAGTCATCAGTGGGATGGCTGGACACAGTGGCTACAACAGTGGACTTAATGGGAAGCAGCAGTAAGGGATCAACTGAGGCATTGCAAAGCCTCTTTAAAGTGCGGAGAAGCAAGAATGTTACTTTGAGGACTAAGGTGCGCCTGACCCAAGCCAAAGCATGTTTAGTCACCTCCTGTGCAGGTGAAGGTTGGACAATGGATAAGGAAGACCAAATAAGAACGGATACATTTGAATTACGGTGTGGCGAAGAATAGTGAGCGTACCATGGACTGCCAACAGAACCGACAGACAGAAGAGCCAGAATGTTCCTTAGAAGTGAGGATGGCAAGACTTCGTCTCACCTACTTTGGACACGTGATTAGGAGAGAGCAGTTCCTGGGAAAGGAGATCCTGCTCGGTAAAGTAGAAGGGAGTGATCAAGAGGAAGTGCCTCAATGAGGTGGATTGACACAGTGGCTACAACAACGGACTTAACGGGCTTAACAAGTATGAGGACAGCACCGGACCAGCCTGTTTCGTTCTGTTGACACAGGGTCGCAATGAGAGGGAACCAAACTGGCAGCACCTAACAGCACATTCAGTCACAAGACCCTCCCATCAGCATGCTGCTGGCCTGCTTCCGAGCTCCTGTTTCAATCTGAGTTCTAACAGAAAGCAAAGACTTGCTATTTGGGTAAGAATTGTGGTTACAAAATGTTTTTATCTGACAACTCACACGTTCTCCTCTCTTCCCCTGCACGTCTCCCTTTGGTGTAAAACGGATTCCCTTTGTTTGCTTCATGAAATGAGAACTTTCGGCAACAAGGGAGGCTGCTCATTGCATTTTTTTCGATGCCACGTCTATGACTTTATTTTTTTATAAATCACTTTATTGGGGGCTTACGGCTCTTCTAACAATCCATCCATCCATTGTGTCAAGCACATTTGTACACATGTTGCCATCATCATTTTCTAAGCATTTTCTTTCTACCTGAGCCCTTGGTATCACCTTTTTTTAAAAATCATTTTATTGGGGGCTTGTACAACTCTTATCACAATCCATACATACATCCAT